CTTGAGGGTGGGAGTGTGAGTCCCAGAACCTATGTAAAAAGATCAGCAGTCCTGGCAGTGAGGAAGACTGAAGGTTGGGGGTTGCTGAAGACAGGAGGATCCCTGGATTCTCTTGCCAGCCAGTCTAGCTGACCGCTGAGCTCCAAGTTCAGTGAGAGACCTTGTCTCACCTACCTCAAAAACTAAGCTTGGAAGGGCTGGATTAATGGCTTAATGGTTAAGAGCATTTTCTGCTCTTACAGAAGTCTTGAGCTTGGTTTTCAACACCCATGTCAGACAGCTTATAACCATCTATAGCTCCAGCTTTTAGGGATCTGATACCCTATTATGGTCTGGCAACCACACACGTGTGTCTAACACTCATACAGGCACACACACACACACACTTCCTGTGAAGTGAAAGTACTCTGAATAGTGAACAGTTTCTTAAACCAACAAAAAATTATAATAAACATAGTAAATCAGGACAGTCCTCTTGCATACCTCTGTGAGTTATTTTGGGCAGCTGGAAGGAAGGCAATCTGTTATAAATTGAAGGGACATGCAAATGCCTACACACATACTGAATGAGTGAGGGAGGAGAGGAGGAGGGGGAGGAGGAGGGGGAGGAGGAGGGGGAGGAGGAGGGGGAGAGAAGGGGAGAGGGAGAGGCAGAGGGAGAGAGACTCATCCTGATATGAGAGAAGATGAGAGCCTAGTGATACCTGGACCATGGGATAGACAGACTGGCGGGAGAGTTCTCATAAAGTCTGGACTACAAAGCAGTATAGCAAAATGGTCAGGACACCATGGAATAAGAACCAGACTGAAATAGGATATTTTTATTTTAAATTATTTATTGATTCATAAATGCCTGATGCACAGATCACAATTTTAGACATTCTATATGTATTGATTCATTTATACCTCAACTATCTATGAAAAGTATCCTGTTCATAATCTTGTTTTATAAATAGGGAGACTAAGGCATAGGATGCTGGGATAAACTGCCCATTTTGGCTTCATACTCATGTTTCCAAGCACTGGATGTTACCCTGATAATCACTGCATTTTCCAAAATCTTCTCATTTCCATTACAACAAAACTAGCAACCACTCACATTACTAAACATTGTTGTCATAGTTACAGCCCTACCTCGGTGAAGAGATTCCATGACCAAGGCAACTCTTATAAAGGAAAGCATTTTACAGGGCCTGGCTTACAGTTCAGAGATTCAGTCCATAGTCATCATGATGAGAAGCATGGAGCATGCAGGCAAGCATGGTGATCCACAGGCAGCAGAAGGAGACTGGAGTCCATATTGGGCAGACCTTGAGCATAGGAGACCTCAAGGCCTGCCCCCACAGTGACACACTTCCTCCAACAAGGCTACACCTCCTAATAGTGTTCTCCAACAAGGCCATACCTCTTAACAGTGCCACTGAAGTGGAAACATCTAGTTTCTTTGGAAAATTAGTTATGTCAAATGATGTTTTGCTGGGGCACACAGGTGAAAGGATGTTTTGCTATAGTAAGCACGTGAAAGGATGCTTGATGAAAGATTGTAAATATGACCCCACAGACAGTGGGAGATGAGCATTGAGCATTTGTTTGGTTTGCTCTGTCTCACTATTCATTAACAGCAAGCTTATATTGGTCCGCTTTACATAGTCTTGTTGAGCTCAACTTGTAGTAACAACACCATTATGAGAAACTCACCAAGAACTTCCCATGAGGTTCCTGTGGCACCTTAAACGTAGGTTCCAAAAAAGTTGTTCCTACATGCCACTCCCCATGGACCAAGCATTCAAACATATGAGTCTATGGGGCCACTCCTATTCAAACCACCACAATTGTTTATCAAGGGATTAGTTAATCAGTTTTATTTTGCCAGCAAAGAATGTGAAAGCCAGAGAGGTTAGGGAATGCAACCATGTCTCATATGCACTGAAGCATTATGCTTGAATTTGCTTCTATGGAGTCAGACTTCAGACCTGTCACTCCAGAGACTTCCCGCCCAGCTGTTTGCCTCTGTGCTGGGAAGCATCCCTGCTTTGTTCATCAGCTTGATTTTATATCTTGCTTCCCACCCTGAACCCTTAAATCCATCTCTACATTCAACTCTCCCAGAATGAGGAAGCAATCTCATGCTGTTCTTCGTCTTAACTGGAAACATAGAGTGGAACTTTGTCCTAACTATACCCCGTTCTCACTTTTCAAATAGCCATGATAGCACATATCTATGGCTTAACTTTGTGCCTGTGTTAAATGTGCATACTAACTCAGTGAGCACTGCAGCACATGCATACAGCATGCACAGACCCAAGGCAAAGTGAATAGTGCATCTCTCTCATCAGTTTAAGCCTAGAGCCTTCTCTTCTTTTAGATCTTCATAAAGTACTTCATGGATTACTGCAAGCTGTCATCACCCTCTCTGTCATGAAATGATAGAACTTATTTCTTCTGCATGATTGCTTTGTGTGCCCATTATGCAGCCTCACTTTATGCACTCCCGAATTCTCCCTAATCTCTAATAGTCACTATTCTGCATTTAGGTTGACATTTTTAACTTCCACATATAGCTTGTTTCATTTAACCCCATATCTTTTAGTTCCCTGCATTTTACTGCAAGTAGCAGGGTCCATTCTTCTTTATAGCTTACAAGCACCCCGATGTGTGTGTGCTGCACACTTTATCCATCCTCTGTTGGTGCACACCAATGTTAACTCTATTTTAGTGCTGTGACAGTGTTGCAGGGAACATGGGTGTGGAGGCATATCTGTTAGGCTGATGTCATTCCCTTTTGATAGGAACCATTCATAGGCCATTTGTGTTTCTTTTTTGGGGAAGCATCTATTCAGATAATTTACCCAGTTTTTAACTATGTTGCTTCTTTTACTATAGTGGCTGGTGTTAACCTTTTGCATTTCTTATATATTTGAAAATATAAACTTAAGTCAGCTCCTGTGAAAATCACTGTGGAAGTTGCCAAAAAAGAAAACTACAACAAGATCAACTAAATGACCTAGCTACACTACTCCTACATATATGCCCAAAGGGCTCCACAGCAACGTATCACAGAGGCTGCCACTCACAACAACTAAGAAGCAGAACCAGATGGGGTGCCCATCAACAAATGAATGGGTTAAAAAATGTGCCACATAAGCATGATAAAAAAATTTTCATAATAAAATAAAATGAATTGTTATAAATAAAAATGAAATTATGACATATATAAGGAAAATCAATGGAATTATAGATCATGAATGTTAAGAGAAATAAACCAGATGCAGAAAGAAAAACATTACCTGCTCTCATATGAAAAATCCATAGTAGTGCCTGTGTGTATATGTGAGAGAGAGAGAGGGGTGGGGGAGGAAGGAGGGAGGGAGGGAGGGAGGAAGGGAGGGAGAGGGAGGAGTGAGAGGGAGGGAGGGAAAGAGGGAGAGGGAGGGAACTTAGAGTGATGGGGGATCATGAAATACAAGAAGGCATCTTACGGGAAGATTAGTAGGAAATAAAATACCTGTACCATGATAGCAGAGGGGACAACTGTTAGGGAAAGGAAGGGGACCAGCAAGGACTAACAGGGGTAATTAGGGAATGATAAAGGGGTATAAATGAGAACCATGCATGATTACATGTATGTATGCATATTCTGTAATAAAACCTAGTGTGCTAACTTTAAAAAATTTTAAAAAGTAGAGACTGTTATTGATTTCCATATGTTCTGAAATCTTATATACCTGATGTGGCCAGATGTTGATTCCTCATTTTACACATTACTTTTTGTTAGTTCCCATTAGTTCTAATGCTTTCTTATCATATAGGGATTTGTTGCCATTGCTGTCTTCTTATTTGTTTGCGACAGGGTCTAGCCCAGGCTGCTCTCAAATTCACGGTCCTCCTGCCTCAGCCTCTTAAATGGCTGGAGTTACAGGTGTCCCTACCACTGTTAGTGATGCTGGTTTTCTAATGTTAGACTTCTCTTAAGTTTATCTCCATGGTACTTTCCAATGGGAAAGACACTCTTTGTAGGATGAGGGTTCTGTTTTAGCATGTATCTCAGAAAATTAGCATCTACAGATTTACTTCCAGAGTGATGGTTCACATTATTTTGTGCACCTATGGCTCTCCAGCCCTTGACAAAGTGGGTTAACAACATGGCAACTCTGGTTACAGACTCTAATGTAAAGGTGAGTGAAGGTACCAACAAGCCTCTTACATGAGGAAGAAATCAGCCTCAGTAAGAAGCAGAACAAGGTTAAAAATGAAACTGTACATCAGCATGAAGGATTAAGAAAAATGTTTGACAATCTTATTGGACATGGCTGGGACTTAAATTAGAATGTTGTCAAGTCTTCTCCTTCTGGAGTCTTACAAGGTTGGTTTAGACCTGTCCCTGGGGACATTGTGACACAGACCTAGCTGTATGTATCCTTGCCCGGGGCTAACAGATGGTTCGAATGACCCCTCTGCAGCTCTCCCAGCCCCGCACTTCAGTTTGCCCACACTGTGGACTGGTTTGTTAGCTGACTCAGATTTGTCCTTGCAAGCTAGCAGGAGGACTAGCTGCATACGAGAAAAAAAGTAGACTCTTTGTTCCCCCAATGAATACCTGTCTCCCCTATTTCAGTACTGTAAAAGTAGGGGAAAGGCTACCAAATGTAATGAACCATGATTTCCTTATGTGGCAGAAAAGAGGATAGTCTATACCTTTCTCTCTCTTGAAGTTATTCAAATATTTATACAATAAATTTAAAAGAATAATTTTAAACCTTCACCTCATTTTTTTTACCTTGTAATATAAATGTGTTGTTAATTGAGATCAAATTCTATGACTCTGATGAAATTGGGGGCACAAATTCAAGCCAGATGGAATGAGAGTTTAATCCTGTAGGTATAATAAGAATTGAATCTATTCTGTGTGTGATTGCTGCTACTGTATTCAAACAAAATCATCATGACATGGTTTCCCACCTACACTACATATGAATTATAGGTTGGTTCCTGCACTATAGGTGGACCTGTGGCAGCCCAGCAGTATCTCCTGTGTGTCAGAGGGGGCAGTTACTGATGTCCATATTCCCAAACATGCTTCCAGAACCCTGTTAGCGTTCTTACAGGAAACCCACATCCAGTACAAGTAAGCATTCTCTTTTATTTGCTACAAATTTTATTTGTACTAAATCCAACTGAATGGTGACTGTATTCAGATTGTTTATAAAGAGTTTCCACAAGTATTTTATTTAAGTGGTATTCCATTGTGAGACAGTAAATGTGTGTATATCCATATTTGAAGAACTTATTTGTCTAGTACAGAGTAGGAACAATCACAGAGACATGCTACTTCACTGCACTAAGTCATCAATGGCAACATAGTCTTTTATTGTATAAAGAGAGAAGAGCCACCTGGCAATGCTAAAATGACCAAAGGGAAGGTAGAGAAGAAATGGTTTCCTGCAGCTGCTTGGTCTGCAGCAAAAGACAGGATAAAACTGGGGACCTGCCAGATGTGGAGCACAAGGCAAGCAAAGGAAGAGTACATGGTGGGCTAGTGCTGTCGGAATAAAAAAGGGCAGGTGAGGAATTGACAAACGGGACCTAATAAAATTGCAAAGCTTCTGTAAGGCAAAGACACTGTCAATAGGACAAAAATGGCAACCAACAGATTGGGAAAAAATCTTTACCAATCCTACATCTGATAGAGGGCTAATATCCAATATATACAAAGAACTCAAAAAATAAGACTACAGACAATCAAATAACCCTATTAAAAAATGAGGTACAGAGCCAAACAAAGAATTCTCAACTGAGGAAACTCAAATGGTCAAAAAGCACCTAAAGAAATGTTCAACATCCTTAGTCATCAGGGAAATGCAAATCAAAACAACCCTGAGATTCCACCTCACACCAGTCAAAATGGTTAAGATCAAAAACTCAGGTGATAGCAGATGCTGGTGGAGATGTGGAGAAAGAGGAACATTCCTCCATTGTTGGTGGGATTGTAATCTGACACAATCACTCTGAAATCAGTTTGGTGGTTCCTCAGAAAATTGGACATAATGCTATCTGAGGACCCAGCTATACCACTCCTGGGCATATACCCAGAAGATACTCCAACATATAACAAGGACACATGCTCCACTATGTTCATAGCAGCCTTATTTATAATAGCCAGAAGCTGGGAAGAACTCAGATGTCCTTCTACATAGGAATGGATACAGAAAATGTGGTACATTTACACAATGGAGTACTACTCAGTTATTTAAAACAATGACTTCATGAAATTCTTAGGCAAATGGATGGAACTAGAAAATATCATCCTGAGTTAGGTAACCCAATCACAAAAGAATGCACATGTACTCACTGATAATTGGATATTAGCTCAAAAGCTTGTAATACCCAAGATACAACTCACAGACCACATGAATCTCATGAAGAAAGAAGACCAACGTGTGGGTGATTCGGTCCTTCTTAGAAAGAATAACAAAATACTCACGGGAGGAAATATGAAGTGTTTAACAGAGACTAAAGGAGGGGCCATCCAGAGACTGCTCCACCTGGGTATCCATCCCTTATACAGTCACCAAATGCAGACACTGTTGTGGATGCCAGGAAGTGCATGCTGACAGGAGCCTGATATAGCTGCCTCCTGAGAGGCTCTGCTAGAGCCTGACATATACAGAGGCAGATGCTCAGAGCTAACCATGGAACTGATCATGGGGTTCCCAATGGAGGAGTTAGAGAGAATACTGAAGGATCTGAAGGTGTTTGCAGCCCCATGGGGAGAGCAACAATACCAACCAACCAGAGCTCCCAGGGTCTAAGCCTGTGAACACATAGAGAGGGATCCAGGGCTCCAGCTATATATGTAGGGGAGGATGGCCTCTATGGGCATAAGTGGAAGAGGAGGCCCTTGGTCCCATGAAGGCTGGATGCCCCAGTGTGGGGGAATTTGAGGGTGGGGAGGTGGGAGTGGGGGGGGACACCTTCATAGAAGCAGGAGGAGGGGGGATGGGGTGGGGGGTTCTGGGAGCCAAAATGGGAATAATATTTGAAATGTAAATAAATGAAATATCCAATTTAAAAATAAAACAAAAAAAACAAAAAAAACAGGGCAGTTGAGGAGCCCAGACCGCTATGAGTGGTGCTGTCCCCTGGAGGATATAAGCAAAAGTGGTCCATATTGTGGGTGGGACTGCAATAGCAGAAGATAGAAATAGTCCAAATAGCAAGGGAAGGCTTCCAAAGGGTCTTCTCAGAGTAAAACTACCCAGGCTCTATACTCTTTTGGAGGGAGAAAGGGGTGGAGTCAGAGGAGCACGCTGAGTTTTCTAGTGTGGAGGAGACTAAGCAGACAGATGTGAATGAACATGTATATTCAGATGGTTTCTAAACGAAGAGTTGCAGCAGAAGAGAGTAAGTCAAGACAGTTATGGGAGTCAAAGACGAAGAGAATGGTTTCAAAGACTGGGATGATGGTTTACAACTGCAGTAATACTGAACAAGAAAGGAACCAACAGTCTCTGGATTTGGTGATGGAAATTATATTACCAATGTTCATAGGGAGATTCAGTTGTGAGGAACGGAAGACAGAAAAGTGACAGACACAGAGCAGAATCTACCTCCTAGCAGTTGCCATAAGAAGAGAGTGGAGGACAAGAAATGACCACTAAGTCTTACAGCATCAATGACCACTCAGAAACCTTGAGGAAAAACGTGGTGTGGTATATCTACAGCCTGGGGGAAGGACCAGAGATGATAGAGATAGAGGTAGAAATAGAGATAGAGATAGAGATAGAGATAGAGATAGAGATAGAGATAGAGATAGA